GCTAGAGCTCTTAAGGTAAGCCCTATAGCACCCCTTTAATATTCTTTATATTATATACTAACACCTTATTAACCTTTAGGTTCTTCTTTAATACCTTAAACTCACCATCCCACCAGTCTAGTAAGTTTAGTATATAGTATAGAAGAATAATAATAGCATTACCTTCTACATTTATTATATATATATTAGAGACAGATTACATAGCTATATCTAACTCTTAATTAGTCTATATTAGCTTATTATTAATTATCTATAGGTTTTACTCTTTAAATAGGCCCCTATTAAAGCTTATCTAATAATTACTATTATCTATATTTACTAAAAGACCACTACTAATTTCTCTAGCTAAGTAAGATACTACCTTATAGCACTCTATCCTATAGAATACTTACTTCCTAGAACTAAGTAGCTTAAGGTATTTAGCAGCTTCTTCTATAGTAGGGATCTTAGGATTAGACATATACTTTAAAATAACTTAGGTAGTATTAGGGAGATTAGTTAGATAGCTATATACTAGGATAATATTTATAGTAAAGAAAAGAGATATAAAGAGAAATAGAAGGCTCTAAATACTAATATTTACTATTCTAAAGAAAAGTAAGATAAAAACTAACCCTACTAAGGAAATAATAGAAAGAGGGAGTAGAATAAAGTATAAAGATAGGTTAGAAAGAGATAAGTTTAAAAGGGAAAAAAGGAGCAGACTATATACCTTTTAAAGTATAATAATAAATATAAAAGGCATGGAATTACCTAGGACCTTAGATATATTATATAGGCCCCCTTTCCCCCCCCTCCTAAATAGGTAGATACCTAACTTAAAGGCTAGGACTCTTCCTAAACTTACTTAAATAGTTACTGGTAGAGACTCCCTCTATATTAACTATATTTAGATCTATATTATAATTTAGTAGGAGCTCTATAGCCTCTATATAACCCCTAATAATTACCTAGTAGAGAGGTGTCCCTTCACAGTAGTAGTTAATAAAGGTAATTATATATAGGAAGGGAATCTTATTAATATCTACCCTATACTTAATTAGCAGCCTTATTAGGTTAATATCTCCTAAAATTACTATAATATATAAGGCTCCTATTCCTTTAATCCTTGTGCCTTTCTTTAATATAACTTTAACCCACTTAATATCTATATATTATATAGCTATACTAAGGGGGGGCAGCTATTAACTATAGGTTCCTATATTAGGATTAATACTATATAAAAAAAGAAATTTAAGTAAATTCTAGTACTTATACTATAGTATATTAATTAATAGAGAACTACTATAGCCTATTATAAAATTAATATCCCTACCAGCATCTAGAATTACTTAAAAGATCTTAATATCTCTATATTATAAGGTGTTAAGGTAGATATTTTTATCTATTATTAAAAGTCTATTTCTAAAATACTCTTAGAGTATTATAATATTACCTTAGAAAGCTGCTTTATAGGCTTCTTACTATAACTAAGATAAAGCTATTCTTAAAATAATAGGTAATAAATATCCACTAACTAGTAAGGATATATAGAGTTATTAGGGCTAGTTCTTCTAATTAGGATAGCTAATAGGAGGGGGGTAAATAATATTAAGAGGTAGTATTAAGAAAGAATAATAGCTTCTAATAGTAACTTAGGTACTTTTATATTATTTAGGTATTACTCTAATAGACTATTATTATAGTAGGGCTAATAAGTAATAGTACTAAAATAATAGGCTCTTTATAGAGTAGGGATCTATAGGATACTATCTATAGATTATTTTCTTAGCCACTTTAGATATCCTATCTAGTATATATATTTTAGGTTTTTAAACTAGGTAAATCATTTCCTATGCTCCTAAATAAGTATTAAATATTTTAGCCCCATCTAAGACCCTTAATTAGTACTATAGTATAATAACCCTATATCTTTTAGATAGGCTTAGAATTATGCTCTCACTTAGGCCCTAATATTATAATTTATAAAGTATTATTAATTATAGTAGTTATTTAGTTAAGGCTAACATACTAATTAAAACTAATATTAATAGAAACTAATAGCACCACTTTAATAAATTATTTAGCCCTAATATAGAGTGAATAATATCCTAGTATTAGTTTCTATATTAGCTTCTTAATTAGGGCTATATATTATCTAGGTCTTTATTTAGGCTATAGTATAAAGGAGATATATAAATATATTTAGTAAGTATCTAAAAGCCTTAATAGTATATTATAGTATATTATTAAAATATAAATTATGGTTTATATCTATAATAGACTTATATAACTAAGCTTAAAATCTCCTTTATATATTAATATTCTATAACTCTAACTATTGCTAGTAGTATATCTTTACTTTACCTTAATATACCTAATAAAACTAAAATAAAGTATATATAGACTTAAATCTACTTATATAGTCTTTTAGTTAATATCCTTAGTTACTATCTAGACTGTCCTTCCTATCTTAGGACCCCTTCTCTTACCTACTACCTCTATAGTCCCTATTCTAGGTGACTTCCTTCTTATAAGGGACTAGAATATAGTATAGGATATTAACTAGATTACTTTATCTATTATTAGTTTTAACTTTATTAATATAGAAGATTATAGTAATAAAAAATACTCTATTTTTAATCTATATAACTCCCCCTTAACTCTTTCTAGCTTAGGAGGTTATCTTTAGAAAGATAGTTAGTTCTATTACTTTACCTTTCCTCCTAGGATAGAAATATACTAATATCTATCCTAGTGCCTAGTTAGCCTAAAAAGCACCTATCTAAGGACTAGTTTAATAAGTATATAAAGTAATTAAACTTAAATATATCTTTAAAGTATAGTAGTCTAATATCTGCTTAGGCCCTAATAAAGGATAGTAATACTCTAAGTAGGGTCTGCTAGATAGTTAATATAGTTCTATTAAACTTTCTTACTAGTAGTAGTAAGCATACTCCTATTAGATTATTAAGCCTATACTAAGCTAACTCTCTATAAGATATAAAAGACCTGGCCCCTAAGGTATATAATAAGATTATTACTCTTAGAGTAGGAATTATAACTAAGGATATTAGAGTAATTTTATCTACCTTAATACTCTAGGGTGGCTATAAGAAAGGCCTTTTAATTATATATAAGGGCTATATACTATAGCTAGTAGGTATAGTAGCTAATCTTACTAGTATTAATACTAAGTCTAAACTAGTTAATCTATATATAGAAGTAATTAAATACTAGGCAGATATATATATAATAGACCTAAAGTATGGATTTATAAATACCTTTTAGGGTTAGGGTTAGGGTTTAGGGTTAGGGTTAGGGTTAGGGTTAGGGTTAGGGTTAGGGTTAGGGTTAGGGTTAGGGTTAGGGTTAGGGTTAGGGTTAGGGTTAGGGTTAGG